CTCTGCCTCATTCTCTTTTCCTTCCCGTTTTTAGAGACCATCTGTCCGCATTAGGGGCCAGCCCAGCCCTAACCCGCAACAGAGGGGCATCAGCTTCCTTCATTTATTGAAGTGTTCTTGGATTTGTTACTTGGATTTCTTCAGGTTTGTTTGGTTTTTTGATCCTCTGGTAGCAATGTGCTGATAATCATAACAATAATCATAACAAATGAGAAACATGTGATCCTCTGCCTTAAATGCACCTGTATTATTGCTAGGATGCAGTCTTCTAGGATCTGAGGGTTAAAAAGCAGCTAAAAATAGCTAAAAATTACAAAGCTGAGACTTTGCAAGGGATCTGTCAGAGGTATGGTGTGATAAATGTCATGGTCCCTGCTGCAGCTTCCTGGTGACTTGGCAAAGATGCTCTGACTCAGTTTCACCTGGGGAAAACGAAGGTCTTTGATGTGATTTGGTTAGAGCTTTGTCAACATACTGGCTTTTAAGAAACAAAACATGCTGAGGCCTGGAGTTAAGAACGAGCTGGTTTGGACTGGAAAATCAGAAAGGCTTTGGCAAGACAGGCACCGTTTGATCACCCAGGTATAGCTGATTGGGAAACCAGGTGGGGTCTCTTAGTCTTGCCACCCATGCGAGGTATTTAATTTGTGTGGGAAGCACAGAGGAATTGAGAAAAAGATTGTAAATTCTGCTGAGCAGAGGAGAGCAATCGTGGTTTTTGGTGAGTAGCACAGCTCCCTGTGCAGCAAAGCTGGAGCAGCTTCTAGAGATGGGTGGTCTTTGAGGAGCCCCTTCTTTGGGCAAAGTATTTACTGTGGCTGCTTTCTGGCTTTAAGCACTTTTCAAATTTCTTGGTGCTGTGCTGTGCACCCAGTGTGATTTATTTACGCTGTTACTGGGTTCCAGCTATGGGCAAGGCAGTCTTTTGCTGATACATGTGAGGAAGGAGACTGTCATGCAGACAAGGGTTGTCTCCCTGGGTGGAAACACACGTGGTAGCAGATCCCTGCCATAGTTGCAGAGGTGCGAGCTGCTGCGCTACGTTACCAAGCAAGCTGGAGGATGCTGTGAGTTGCTTTATTTTTAGGTCTTAATGCTGATTAAATGCAAACTATGCGGTGGCTCTGGGCGGCTCAGCTTCCTTGGAGAGCAGCTCTGTCCTGCTTGTTGTAGACTGTGTGTTGGAATGTCAGTTGTTCCCTCGAGGTTTTCCTTCCCCTGATGGCTGCAGGGAAGGGAAAGACATTGCATCAGTGGCTGCTGCTGATGGAGATGAAGTCTGTGCTCCCAGGGCAGGGGAGAGGTGCATTTTCTGTGCATGATACTGGAGGTGGTGGGCATGACCAGCATCCTGCACAGACCCACCCAGCTGGCCTTTGGGTTTTAAGGGGAGTCGCAGCTCTGCTGCTGCAGGTGCCTGTGCGGTTTAGGGGAGTTTACCTCAGTGACCACCTACCTGCTCTTCAGACAGGAGGCAGACTTCTCAAATGAGAGCCCTTTCTGAAGACTTTTATCCAAATCTGAGAAGAACAACACGCACAAACTTCCCATCATGGACTGATGCGGGCTGCCCTGAAGTGCAGCTCCCAGCCCAGCAGCTAATGATCCTTGCCCTGCTGGCTCACCCCTTTTCTTCTGCTTCGACTCCATTTTCTTCAGGGACTGGGGCAGCAGGACTTGGATCCCTTTTTGGAGTGTGAAGACGATGGTGGTGTAATTGCCTGGTGAGGAAGAAGAGATGAAGCAGTACCAGCCATGCTGCGGCAAGCGCTCTGATGGCGAACGAGGGAGGACAGCGGGCTGTGTTGTCCCCTTGGGATCCCATGGGGCTTGCAAGGAGGTCAAGGAAGGGTGGCTGAGCAAGGACTCCTTGACTGCAAAGCTGTTTGGGAGCTGCAGGGCAAGGGTGACCCCTCCCGCCTTGGCTCTGCTCTAGGGTTGGGGGGGTCCCGAGTGGCAGATGTGGGGGCTTGGGAGGAAACGGCTTCCGGAGAGGCGGAAAGGGGAGCGCTTGTGCACAGCTGCCCCTGTGCCAGATGTGCCCTCAGCTCTGTGCCCGCATCGGGTGCACGCTCCCAAGAGGAGATCACTGCTCATGCCCGTGAAGAGGGATGCGGGCAGCATGTCCAGCCTCGGCAGCAGCGGGTCCCTCTGCTCCTTGTGGAGGCACCGGCGGTGCCACAGTGACGCCTGGCGATGGGGGATGCAGCCGTGGCCGGCACCTTCCCAGCCGTGCGCCCGAGCACAGCGCCGACCCGCAAAAAAAGAGGAAAAAAAGCAAATCGTGGGCGATAAGAGGTTCTCTCTGCAATTACAGGTATTTTTCCTAGCCCTTTTGGTGCCTTTTAAAGACAGCATAACCAATTTTTCCCCTTCAGAAAAGCAAGACTCTTAGATAAAAGTCACTGGTGAAAGCCTGGTAAAAAAAATAAAGCGCCCAGAGCAAAAAGGTGTCACAGACATTAGTGCAGGCAGAAGCAGCAGCTATTTTGGGGTTGCACCCTGATTTGGCTCATTTTAGCCAGTCAGGGCTGCCTGCGGGTTGGCAGGTGATGCAGAGCAGGAGCCAGCCCGCACTGAATCCCGCGGGTATAACGTAGCCCTACCGAGGTGTGGTGGCATCTGCCCTTCCTACTCAGCCAGGCTGAACACACTGGATGCAGAAATGAGACAGGTTTGAGAGATGACACATCTACCCTCAAGATGAGGGATTTGATCTACCCATCTCTGGTTATTCAGCTTGGGCAGTGGTGGGACGGTCCTAACCCTTGAAATAGCTTGTGCTGGTTAAATGTCTGTCTCTCTCCCCACTGGTTTTCCTGGAGATTCTGGCAAATATGTATCTCCACTCCAGATAACACAGTAGGTAGTTCCCATGTAGAGCTTTGCTTCTGGCTTGTCACTAGCTGGGAAGACGTGTGTGATGGGTTAGGATTTATCTGCTTTTTTTCCTGTCAGCAATTGGCTTTTGTGTGGGGCAAAAAAAAAAAAAAAAGATGCTTGAGAAGGCCCTGGAAGTGCAGTGAGGCTCCGTAACAAGGTGGAGGCTCAAGCTGAACATTTCATGTTCTGCAGGGGAGTACCCAAGGTGTGGGGTGGTTGGAGTGAATAGACATGGCCTGGCAGTCTTGGAGCACACCTGCACACAGGGCTCTGTCACCCCAGCTCGGCTGTGCAGCAGTAGCTCAAGCACTTGCCTGTGCTTGATTTTTAACCAGAACTTGACAGTGATAAATGACAGGGAGCAGAGCACCGGCTTGCTGACACCCACTCGACCGTCAAAGCAAGATTAGTACGTTCCTATTTTGGTTTCCCCTTTAATCAAAAATCAATTAGACAATTTCCAAATGAATACTCAGTCAAGGAGCTGGGTTGTCAGGCAGACCGGGAGCACTCAGCACTACTTTCTTTGTGGTTTTCGGTTTAGAGTTATTCAGCATTCCGAAACCAAAGAAGTGGATGAGGAAGGAAAAATATCTTTTCCTTTCCCCAGAGATGTCCTGGTGAGTGTCACCTCAAATTCTGATGAGGCTTATTCTCCATTTTATATGTTCAAAGCATCCTTCCCGCAGTGCTGCTGAGCCTGGTGTTTGGCTGCACAGTTCTTCTCCTTTTCCTGCTCCCATTTGACTTGCAACCCAAAGGATTAGCTGTTTTATTTCTGTTTTAGGGTGTGTGCAAGAGTATTTTTAACTTGGTTATCAAAGCAAGCGAGTTATGCAACAGCTCTTTGCTCATGAAGTCTCTGCACCCACTTCCCTATTCCCCGAAGAAATTTCTGAAAACCCACTGGGCAATTTTGACTGAATTTGATAGAAAGGAGTGATTTCAGAGATGCTTCATTTTTCAACAGGCCTACACCACATATACCCTCAAAGCTGTGTGAAGGAGGGAGTTTGTGCCTTTTAAGGGGAACCCTGTGGGACTCCAAAACCCCAAGTCTGGACATCTCTGCATTGGAAGAACAAGCCTGAGGACAAAATGTGAGGCGGGAGGACAGGCACTCGGCTTACCTGGACTGCAGATGTCAGATGACTTGGAAGAGATGGTTGTACTGGGCGAAGAGGTTGGCATGCTGTCCTTACGAGAGACCTTATAGCTCCTCATCACCTTCCAGGTGCAGAACCTGCATGAGAAATACTGAAGATAGCAAACATCCCAGCAGATCTCTACAGCTGGGCTCCTGAAGAAGTGTCTCTATTTTCACCATGTCAGAGGAACAGGTGGCTGGATAAAATGGCTGGCACCCACAGAGCCTCCCCCACCCTGGGAGAGAGGGGATAGGTACCTTCTCCAGAAGTGCATCACGATGGGGAAGATGATGACCTTGGCCCTGTGGTAGAGGGCACGATTTAGTAGCCCCTTGGAAGACAAGCTCCAGATTAAATCTCTCTCTCCTTCAGAGATGTTCACCTGGCCACAGAAGAGACCTTGCTTAACCAAAGCAGTTTGTGGCACTCCTGATGGGCCCTAGAGGCACATTTCTTTCCATGACACCACCTTGCATTTTAGTAGCCTCTTAAGAAGAGATTCCACTTTCATCCTGACTGTCTCAGATACAAGGGCAGAACCCGCACTGGATTTCTGTGAAAAGCACTGTGCTGTGCTTTCCAAAGGGAAGATAGAGCCACGGCTACTGCAATGGGAGGAGGTGGGTGCAATGAGGAGGAGGAAATGGTGACATTGATCTCTGGCAAGTGAAAAGGACTGAACTGGCACCCATCCTGATGCTTTAGCCCTGGAATTTCTCCAGCAGGTAGGGGATTTCACTATCTTCTCATCCACACACTTGTTCTCGATCTGGGACATGTGCTGGTGTGGGTCTGGTGGTGGGTCACTTCCCCTCCCATGGAGCCCAAGCAGAGGTCCCAAACTTCAGAGCATGCTCTGAAGGTTCACAGATCCAAACCTCCACCCTATTCTCTTTTCCCCCCAAACTGCTCGCAGCTGCGATGAACTGGTCTTGAGCAATGAGCAGGCAGCAGCTCTCAGCCTTCCTGTGTGGGTCCCAGCATCTTACCCGCAATTTGGGAGGACTATCGGAGTTCAGGAAGAGTTTGCTGATGATGGCAGCTTTCTTTCTGAGAAAGGCTACTTCGTTTTTGAACGGCATGTTGCAGGCTGCCAGAGCTTCAGCTGAATCAGCAAACCTGGAAAACCTGCAAAGGCACGTGGGGGTCTTGCTCTGAGATGAGTGCTCTGACTGCTAGGCTAGATGGTCATGACCTTGTCTTAGCTTCATATTTACTGGCTCAGAAAAAAGCAATCCACAAGGTGTGGAACAGTAAAACAGATGGGATGAAAAGTCGTTTTGTTCTTCTACACCCTCATGGTCAGAGCATTCACCCGGAGGATGTGATGTTTGCCCTTCTCCAGGGAAAGAAGGGAATTAGAACCTTGTCTTGTGTACGTGGGTGTGTGCTGGTGACGGGGCTGTTGTGCCTCAGCCCTGGCTTGCTCTCCCAGGTTTGCCAGGGACCTGGACAAAGTCAGTGGGGAAATGCCATGACTGGCACATCAAGAAAGGGGTAGGCAAAATGTTAGATTGCTTGGGACTATCAAACCCAAAGTGCTTCTTTGGGCTTGAAGTACTTCTTAGGATACCCAGATGGGAACTCTTAGCCAGGGGGCTTTTTCTAGCTGGAGAGTTCAGGAGCTCCAAGGGCAGGTAGCCACGAGCAGATTAGATGTAAGCAGCTACGGGGTGAGATTTTGGCTGCACTCTACGCTGCAGTGTGAGGTCCAGCTACCAGCCCTTGCGTAGAGAGGCTGGCAGGAGTTTAGGGGTGGCAGCACAGACCTTAGTGTATGTTAATGAATCCACAGTTTGGGCTTTATCCTCTGCTGAGAGATGGGCACTGCCCACAGGGTGGGAGACTGGTGGTACCTGAGCATGTGGTGGAAGAGGAACTTACTTGTCGATCTCCAGATAAAAGCGGAGGTCATAGACGAGGAAGTTGACAGTAATGAGCTGGCTGTCGAACAGGTACCGTTTCACTAGTTGCACCTCCCTGTCCTGTCGGGTGCTGGTAGAGGCCTGCAGAGAATTCAGGGTGCTGGTGCTCTGCATCCGTCTGATGGGCAAGTCTGAAAGAGGGGAACGGATGTTCTGTCCTGCTTCTCCCAGCACTGGGTTTGAGGCCATCTGGGCACCTGATGCTGAGCTATACCCTGCTCCTTCACCTCGCCTGTGCTTGCTTTACCTGCACACAAATAATTTGCTGAGGGTCTTTCTATCTACGTGGACCACAACCTTCCTGCAGCCAGGCTCTTGAGGGAATTCAGACCTATCCAGTGTGCACCTTCCTTCTAGCATAGTAACCTCCTCCACCCGCCCTCCTAAGCACCCATGGGGTGCTTCTAGTCACGATTTTCATAGGGAATGGCCGCAGAACATTAGATCAAAACTCTGCTGGTCCATCTAGCTGTTATCCTGTTTCTGACAGAGGCCACAAGCAAATAACTAGGAAAAGGAAAGGTAAAAATCTCTGTTATTTCTCCCATGTACAATATTCTCCAGCTTCTATAAAATTAATTTCCAGGGACTTCTTGATCTAGATGGGGTTTCTGCGTATCTACCTATTTCAGTGGATTTCTTTTCTAACAGCTTTTCCAGCCTCCTCTTGAAGCTGTGTGTGAAATTTCAGGATCTACATCCTTTGGCAAAGCACTTTGTAGCCAGCTCCCTGTTGCATAGCAAACAATTTCCTTTTGTTTATTTCTTTGGCCTGTGTCACCTCAGGTTCATTTAGTGCCTCCTGTTTTTTGGAGGTTTTTTTTGCAGAATGGATGCAGACTTGCATACGTATTATTGCTACAGAGGTGCAACAGCATCATGGGCATCCACATCAGAAAATACAGATACTGCATGAATGTGTATGAGTGCATGTGGCCTGTTCAAAATTCTGGACCTCATCTCCCAACTCCATCGCCCTAAGTGCGCAGGGTTCTGTACAGTGATGTCTGGCATCCTCAGATACTCGCTCTTCTCTACATGTCTCCATCAGAGAAAACTAAGTCAGCATATAGGGATGGGAGATGAGCTACAGGTTTTCTCCATTTACTTCTCTACTTGAAGCCAGGACTGTCTTGGGAAGGGAGGAGAAAGGGGGTGCCAGGAATCCAGACATACTTTCCTCCTTGTTTCTTAGTTCCCGACGGAGAAAGTCCTCAAACTCTATCCGGTGTTTGCTGATGTCCATCTCCCTCCGGAACTTGCAGAGGCTCTTGACAAGGTCACGAAGGGCAAACCAGGCCCACCGCTGTGGAGACACGGCACAGCGGGCATCAGCTGCCCCCGGGGAGCCAGCCCCTGGCCTTAGCAATAGGGTTTGCTCCCAGGCACAGCCCTCCTGTTTGGATCCACCACTGTGAACTGGAGTACCAGAGCACTGCCTTGGCAGTGGGATTTGTGACCCAGACGTCATCTTTGCTTTCTGGCATTCCTCAGTTGCATTCACGGCCACAGGAGATAGCGTGAATTTTTTTGGCCAGTCCTGACCAAATCTGGAGAGGTCTGCATAGAGCAGGACTCCAGAGGCTGGGAGTGAGCCTTTTCTTACCAGTTGGTTTTTTGGTGTTTTTTTTTTTTCAACTCTTCAAGTCTAGCCCCCTTCTCACCCCATCTATGTGAGCACTGCTTGATCCACAGTATCTTTCTTGCCTGGAGAACATCAGCAGCTCACCAGTAGAGAGGGTCTTTCCTTACCATCTTGCCTGTCACAAATTTCCCCATCCTGTGTTTCAAATGAAGGTTAGGTTTCCCCGTGTCACTCGGAGGGAACAGGTCCTGGTACTCTTTAAACCTGCCAGATGGGAGATGAGAGAGAGCACTGAGGGCAGCCAAGTGCATGAGAAGGGCAGCGGGAGCGCGGCTAAGTGAGGGAACAGCCCTGGGGTTGGGGTCCCACTGGACTTCTGCTCCTGGAGGGTGTTGGAGAATGAGACGGGGGGGGCTCAATCCCCTCCCTCAGGCTCTGTTCTTGCACGTCACAGGCTTGGCAGTGTCTGTCCTGCTTATCTACAGCGTGTTTCCTCCTCCAGTCCAGCACCCTGCAAGCCTAACGGTGATTTTATCTCTGAGGGAGAAGCCCTGCCAGCCTTGCACAGGTAAATATGTCAGAAGCTGCAACAGCACTTTTGCTGGGCTGGGGGTCTGGCTGGGATTTTAATACACCAGCTGATAGTTCATAGGGACATATGTTTGTAGTGGTTGCCATCACCTTGGGGTGGGATGGATGTTGGGGAGGATGTGTTTGTGTAACCACTGGGCTTATGGAACCAGCCTGGCCCAGGTGCTCACCATCGTTTTTCCATTGCTTTCTCGACAAAGACCTGGGCTGTGATCAACATGTTGGAAGTGACTCTTTCGGCCTCACTTATTTCTTCGATGATAGAAGCGTGGCAGTCCAGCTGGTCCTCTGGAAGAGAAGCGCGGTCACTGCCTGCCCCTGCCAGCCACCCCTGAGCCACCAAGACATCTCTTCCTACCCTCACACCTGCAAGTCGCACCCTGTCCCATCTCTGCCTGCCCTGTCTGCTGCTTGCTGAATTTGGTTGTCTCATCCCTGCTCCTTTCTATACTGTGCTAATTGCTTTGGGAGTGAAGTTGTGACTCCAAGAGCATCTAAAGGAGGCAAGAGCTATTTCTGCAGCTGCAGGAACTGCATGTTGCAGGTCTTGGTCAGTAGATGCTGCCAAAGAAGTAGACCACCTTCCTAGAAATATAATTGGCAGTGTAAGGACTTGGCAAATAAATGCTCCACTGGATGGGAAAGAAGAATGAGCAGGTCCCTGCAAGAGGATATAAAATCTGCAACCGGAAACCAGTTCAGGGAAGTGGCTTTCATCGCAAATGGAGTAAAGTGCAGGGTGGAAGGGCACCTACCAGCTGGGATTTCAGCTTGGAAATAAGTTCTGACAATGCTGTCAATGAGGAAGTTCTTCTTCTTGGGGCTAGTCTTTGAAATTAGCTTCTCCACGGCCATCCAGAAATGTAGTGGTTTATCTGCGTTGCGCTCCTTGAGGAACTGCATGAAGAACTGCAGGTGGGCAGGGTTGTGCAGTACTTTTACAAAGTGCCTGAAGAGGAAGAAACACCAGGAGACGGAATTTCTGTGCCACCAGTGACCTGGAACACAATCAGGACCTACCTCTGTGTTTGTTTCTCCAACAAGAGACACACACCTGAAGAAGAGCTAGAAACATGTTGTATGTGGGATCTGGGAAGCAGATGGACCAGCCAAGATACTGGTGGGGCACAGCCTCCCCTGTCTGTCTTGCCCATAGGACCATTTAGGTTGGAAAAAGACCTTTATGATCATCATCCACTGAGATATTGAAATTCCAGGGGAGATTCTCTTGGTAAGCTCTTTCTTTTCTGTCATAGGTTCACCTGCCCAACAGCCTTGCTGCCATCTATCCAAAGGAACTGCTCTCAGCCTGAAGACGAGGCTTCACCCAGAGAGTCAGGGAGAAGGCAGGATTTTGGGTCTGTGATGGAGACCTCAGAACCTGCAAATAGACTGGGCAGAGACCAGGGGAGGGAGGCAGGTAAGGATGGGGCACCTGGAAGGACAAGCAGGAGGAGTAGGTTATGCTCACCTCTGTCACTCGCTGAGAATAAACAATAATTTGCCACTGGATGGAAGAAGGCTTCATGTGTTTGGCCACGGAGAAGGTGTTCTGGAGTGGAAAACCCTTGGCACTGGTAGGTCAGGAGGTTATTGAACAACGTAAGGCCAGAGGACAGCTACACTGACAAGATTCAGCAGAGCTCTGGGAGTCGACGTGGATTCTGAGTCATTTATGAGGTTAGCAAGCCCTTATCTGAAGGTCAGTGGACCGGATCAAATATTTTCTTTAAGTGTGGCTCGTGAGACTGACTTTCACAATAAACAATAGGCACTGCTCCTACTGAGGACTTGTGCCTTGGCTACCATTTATATCCCAGTGTGGAGCTGCAAGGACTCATGTCTGGAATATTCTCAGGAGGTGGACATTCATGTGGTCAGCAAGTACAGAGTGTGATTAGAGAGTGAGTTTAGGTGATTTTTTTTTTTTTTTCTGGGAATCTGAGAGCTGCCCACCTGGCCTGCCAGGGAGTGATTGCAGATGAAGTGCAGGAGGCGCTATGTGAGGAGTAAATCTGAACTATGGGGTTGGGCGTGTCTTAAATATTTTTCTCCTTTCCCTGGTAACTCTTAAGTTTCGACCCACAGGTCACCTGTGTCTAGGTCTGAGAGGGCTCAGCAGTGAAGCAAGGAGCAGTGATACTAAAGGGAAGCACTGGGAAAAATCTGCTTCCTGAAAGATGAGAGGCAGCAAAAAACAGCAAAGCCCTGTGCTGCGGGGTACCAGACCTGGGTCTTGTAGATGGCTTCTCTACTGCAACAGTGTTGATCTTGGTTGTACTTGATTTGGTTTTTCGAGCAGCCTTCATTTTTCTCTTTTTTTTAGCTGTGGGGACAGAACAGGGTTGACCCCTTCTTCAGGTGACAGCCAGAGCTTGACCTCAGGTGTCCTCAAGGCAAAGGACCTCAAAAAGTCCCAAGCTGTCCCCAGAGCCAGCATGCTGATGTCTGCATGGTGAGTCTGGCTCAGGAGACACTGGGTGCTGTGGAAACTCTTTGCGTCCATGTGACTTGACTTTCTTGGCATCCGCTTCAGAGAAGCATTCCCACCCTCTCTGTCTGGATTAACACCCCAAAACATACACCTTTCAAAGGTGGCTAGGCCTCCTTCTTCTTCTGGAGATATTCCTCCAGATAATGGGGTGCAAGCAGGCAAGACCTCTGTTTGTCCAGTCCTCTGACTGGTACAGCTCCAAGGGCAGGAAGGTTTGGGGCCACCCCACTTCTAGCCAGCTCAGGCTGGACTCACCGACTGATGGGCTTCTGAGAAACCAAAGTTCATCTTCCTTTCTTGGGGTATACACAGCCAGCGGAGGCTTCTGAACAGCCAGCTCATTGAACATCATCTTCTGGGAGTCTGCAACAGCTGAAGAAGCCAAGACAGATCCAATGTTCACTCCTCCTGGCCGTGACAGCCCTCTGAGTGCTCAGAGCGCCGTATGGTGATTGCTACTCACCTTGCCTTTCCCCTTCTCTGTCCTGTTCCCATGACCTACCCATGACACTGCATTTCTCGAGTATGAGCAAGGCCCCACAAGCTACCTAAGGGTTGCTACAGGTGACTGCTGTCACTCTCGGTGCACCAGCATGTCATTCTCAAAAGATGATGTGAGAAGACAAAGCTGAGTTTTTAAACCAGCATGGCCAGCTCCAGTGTCCAAAGAAAGTCAAACTGGTGAAAAGGAGTGACAACGGTTGTTGCTGGCTTTGGGTTTCAGCTGCTTTGCCACAGCAAAGCCTGATGGTTCAGGCCAGCGCAGGGATGTGGCATTTGGTGCCTCTGGAACTGGCAGGAGGGAATTTGGCCCATGGATCACTGACATAGCTCGGATTACAGCTCATGGCTCCCAGATATCCTGTCACAACCTGCTCCACGATGTCCATGTGCTGTCAGCAATACAGCATTGCACCAAAGGCTCTGTGCTAGGGGCAGTGGTCACCATGGATGTATGAGATGTGCTTCATCAGCCTGAGCCAACGTGAGCCCTGGCAGAAATGCAGGGCTTCCTCTTACCTATCCTGCGCAGAAGTTCCACCTCTGCCTGGATGGAGCCTCCTTTCCGAAGGTCCCGACTGGCAATTAATTGCCAGTGCTCGGGAGAGAGGCCTTCCAAATTCCTCGTGCCGTGCAGGGCTTGGCTCAGCTTCAAGGACGTGTTCATCCGCTGCGACAGGAGGAAACATTCATCTTTCCCAACAGCGTGGCCTTGCACCTCCGGCATCAGGACATCGCTCTGCGAAGACTATGGTGAGAAGAGCAAAGGGTGATTGCACAGAGCCCACAACCCATCTGAAGAGTTTCTCCTGCCTGACGGACTATCTGCATGTTTTACTGTGCCTTAAAGTACAAACCTACCTATCTCTGCTTCAGCTTTAAACTGTCTGGAAGAAATTCAGGGTGAATATGAAGCTCAAGATAGACCTTAAACCCACTATTTGCAGCTGCTTAAAGTTGGATCACCTCTGCCTGCAGCTGGGACCTACTGGGGACATGCAGCCTGTCCCCCAGGTAGTCCAGGCAACAAAGGCAGCAGCTTCTTGAAGAGATCAACATCCATCCAGGAGGGCTGAGAGCAACCCTGAAGGTGTCCCTGGCAGACAGGTTAACCTCATGTGCCTTTTCAGTGGGCTGCTCTCCCTGGGAGGACCTCTGTACCCTCGCTGAGACCCTCCTGCACTTTTTGTCGCTCCCCACTAGTGAGCAGTTTGCAGCCAAGCAGCAGGGTCAGAGGGGCTGGTTTGTGACTGAAATACAAGCTGCTGAGAGCAAGCACCAAAAATAACCCTGCTAAACCCCTGAGCAGTTCCCCTGACAGTGAGACCTGGGGAGAATTTGGCTTAGGGGACAGTGCCCGCAGTGAGCATGGCCTCGACACCTGCCCAAGTGCTAATTGCACACCCAGACCAGGTCGGTGCTCTGAGGGGTGATTTCCTTGATAAGAGATGCTTAAAAACCTGGGCAGCTAATTAACTTACAACCAAGAGCATTTAACGAATCTGGGGCAGGAGCTGTTCCAGCTGAATTTCCTGAAACGCTTGGCTCTTGCTGACTGAGATGCTGGCATCTATGTCAGCCAAGTCTTTGGGGGCCACCAGCCCTCGAGAGCCTCTCCTTACCATTTCCAGGATCAGCTGCTGATTTTACATTGCAGTCTGGGGAAAAAGCCTTAATGATTGGTTTGAAGAACACGGTTTACAGTGAGCAAAATTGCCTGTGTAGGTTGTGCAGGGATGCAAGCAGGTGGGATGCTGGGGGTTTTGGTCTGTGAGTAGATTTCCTGGTGTAAGGCTAATATTTAGGGTGTTAATAAACATGAGGTATAAGGAGGATTTTTGCAATTGAGAGGCATAATAGTCCAGGAAGATGAGTTCTTGTGTGACCCTGCTTTCTTAAATCATCCCTTTACACAGCAAGTTAAAAATAAAATGTGGAAAACTTGAGTGTGGTTGAATCACAGGCTAAGAGGCTGCATGCCCTCTTCCTCCGGTGTGTCAGCCGGGTGCTCGTGCTAGGACAAGGTCACACATGCAGGAATCCCAGTAACAGCAGCATTCACTGTTTAAAAAGGTGGGGGAGGTAATTCTCAGAAATGTTTTGCCCACGAAGCAGTTACCCAGTGTGCTGTCTGCTGCTGGTCTCTATATTTTTTTTAAAGATTTTTAGAAGACTGTTTTGAAGTCTCTCCTTGGTTTTGGGCCATGGTCTGTCACAGGGGACTCTCACAGGGCATGCCCACAGCACTGCTGACTGATGAGATGCTGTGATGGAGAGGTTGAGGATTGTTGCGCTGGGCAGCTGACTAGGGCGTATTGTGGGATGCTGGACCACCACAGCTAACACTTGGCTTCTCCTCCCTCTCTCTCCAACTTCTCACATCTTCACTGGTGCCTGCACACCCCATGAGGATGCCCGTATCCCTTTTACCATAAACTGGAGGAAGGTCCTGTCGTCGTCAGCCAGAAAGTCCTCGTAGAAGCAGCAGAGCACCTGAGGAGGAGCAAAGGTGGGTTGTCCTCAGCTGGTGCTCCAGCAGTAACCGGCACCCCCCAGCCCTGCCGTACCTCAAGGTCACAGCAGTGATGCCATGGGCAGGTTAGACCTTGCTGAGACGCCCAGCACAGCTCTGTCAGGAGCTGCACACCCAGGTTGGTCCACTGGGCTGCTCAGAGGGTCTTGGAGTTGTAAATGTGTTTTACTTACGTTGTGCTGGAAGCACTGACTCAGATGTGAAAGGATGGCCATTGCACTGCCATCCCCTGGCCCTTGGCATGTGCACCGAACAATGGAGGTCACCAGCTGCTAAATGACTGCTCACCTCCGCTCCACTGCGCAACAAACCAGTGAGGATGCTCCTCTCTACTGGCCTGGCATGTCTTGGTCACTGGTTCCAGTGCAAGATGATTTATGACTAATTTTTTTCCTTTCCTAATCTCTCTCCTTTTCCCAAACACCTCGGCTCTTAAACCTGCCCATGGCCCTCACACCAGCCCAGAGGTGCCAATGCCAGATGTACCTCCCAGCCTGACCATCACCAGCACCACTCCACACCTCACAAATCTCCTGCTGGGCCCTGAATATCCAGGGGGAGAATTCTCCAGTCATCAGGTGATTCCGCAAGGTCCTGAGAGTCCTGGTCTCCAAGGGAAGCTGCTGAATGTTGCCCTCTTCCAGGTAGGTCTTGCATATCTTCTCCCCCATCCAATGACGCAGGATGAAACTGTTTTCTTTGCTGGGCTCCAGCACTATGGGCAAAAATTCCTCCAGGTCATGCCACAGGTCCAGGAGACGAGTCTCCACAGACCGGTCCTGGCGCTTCAAGAAGTCCCTGAAGGGCCGTCCTGCACAGGTCTCAGCACTAAGGGCCCAGGGAAGGAAACTCAAGGTCTCAACCGGCTTTCTCGAGCATGGCAGCTGGACAAGGGGTGCAGGGGAACGCAGGCTAGAGAGGTCTTTCTCTTCATAGAGGCCTTTCAGAGGAAGCACCTGCTCTGCATTGGGTCTAGGTCCTTTGGGAGAGGTTGCTCCTCCTTTGCCTCCAAAGGCAGTGTCTGAAGGATGGTCTAAGTGCTGAGGAATTGATCCCAAAGCATCCTTATCCAGATGTAATTCCCTCATGCTCCCACCTGGCCCTGGCTGCACCTGAAAACCGAGCATCTTCATTTTTGGGGTGTTTCTTCCCTCCTTGATCGCAGTCCAAATCTCTGCTTTGGCCTTCTTACTGCAGTAGGACCCTGACAAACCCTGTCCCCTTCCAATATGCATCGTGAAGGGACTCTCTGAAAGGCCTGAGGGCTCCTGCGGTTTGGCCTGTAATAAAAGCTCCCGGTATTCCTGCAGCAGAGGCCAGCACGATTTCTCTTTCTTGATGCTCTTCTTGCAGTAGATGAAGAATCTAGGGAGCCAGTAACTTTGAATCTTAAAGAGGGCCTCTTCCTGCATCTTGCTTAGGATCTCTCTCCTGGTGCTGATGGGCTGGACATGCCCGGTTTTTGGTGGCAACCCTGAAATGGATGCAGGGGATTACAATGGGGAGATTGCTCCACACAGATGATTCCTCAGCCAAAGTTGATGATGGTATCCCATCTCCCTGGGAGCATCCAGGGATTGCCACCTCTCCAGAAGGGCACTGCTTGTCCCCAGCTCCCACGTTTCTTACCAACGATGTTCCTGCAAAGACTCATGACGCTGGAGCCTTCATGCAGGTGAGTGGCCTTCAGCCTGTGGAGCAAGGATGGGTAGAGGTCCCTCTGCCTTGCATCCAGCTCATCAAGTCCCAGGAGCCTTTCAGTGGTGAGCCAGAAGTTGGTGAGCTCTTCCCCTGTAGATCAGACAAGGGACAGGGGTCAGAAGGAAAGCCCCACTGATGAGCGAAGTAGTCTGTGTATTTTAAAAAAGAAAGAAGGAAAGATCTCCTGGAAGAACCAAGGGGATGGTGTAGAGCAGAGCCAGGGTGATGCATCTGCGCAGTGCCCACGGTGAAGCTCTGCTGCCAGCTCATCTTCCAAAGCTCTATCGGGGATCACAGCGTGCCCCGTCCGCCCCAGTGCTTACGCAGTGCCCGTGTCCTGCCGGGCAGCTTGCCCACGGGTGGCTGAGAAGGGGCTGCAGAGCACCCCGTGCCCACCTGCCGTTCCTTGGAGGAAGGTCCGAAAGTGCCACATGCCCTGGCTCCCGCTGATGCATTTCTCCAGCAGCCACTGGTCAGCGCTTTGCCAGTTCAGCAGTTTTGCTGTCAGAGGAAAAGCAGGCAGAGCATGGCATTGGTGGGGGTGCATGCAGGAACGGTCCCCAAGAAAGCCCTCCAGACCCCACCGCCATCCCCCCAGCCTCCCTGGCACAGGCTGCCAGAAGGCAGCAGTGCTGTGAGCCGCGAGAACAGCGAATCCCACTGAAATGGGAGTTTTGAACAGGTTTTGGGATGCACGTGTGGAGTTTGAAAGGATGCTCGTGTTGGTGACAATCTGCCCAGCTATCATACCTCTTCCCCTTGCAAACACCCATCTTTGCTTGAGTTTAGGGCTTGCCCTCAACCTCCTTCAGCCTGAGCTTCAACCTGACTGGAGAACCAGCAGCAATGCATTGGAGAAAGCCTTGATAAATGGTTTATTTTTTTTTTCTGAAACGAAAATCTCTGTTCCCACTGCCACAGCTCTCCTTCCAGTGGCCTTCTCTTGCTTTGACACGCAGGTTGATAAAGCAATTTGCTGGGCTGAGGTGGCTCAACCCAGACTTGATGCTGGTAGGACAGACCACGGCATAGCCCATGCGTCAGACGAGGAGCATATCGTGATGCAGTGGGAGAGCTCTGGGCACCCTGCACAGCAGAAAACCATGAAACCCCAGGATCCCACAGATGCTCTCCAGCCCCGCTCCATCTCTAAGCCTCACAGCTCCACAGCTCCACGGAGACAGCAAGCCTGTAGTAACGGGGCGGTGACTTGAAGCCCCGCTTATCCCATGTAAAACCTGGGGCCTGCTGCATCCTTAAAAATATGGGACATGCCAGGCCTTTTTATCCCGGAGAGGAGAGGCAAGACCCGCTGTGCAGGCACCACGTGGTGATGACCCCAGCGAGAGGAAGCCTTGCTGGGGTGGCAAAGCCGCTTCGGTTTCCTCCGTGCCGCGATGACTCACCTGCTTCCTGCGAGCGAATGAAACTCAGAAGCTTCTGGCAGAGGACGAGGTGGAGGCACAGGCTGGATTTGCAGAAGTGAGGCAGGCGGTGCTTTACCAGCCAAGCCAGCAAAGACGGGGGGCTGGGATCCTGCATTGCAAACCAAGGAGAGGATTAGGCTGCGAGCAAAGGAGCCTTCTCTTGCCTGGGGATTAGGGTGAGTAAAGGGACCATGCAATGGGGGGAATGAGGCAGGGGAAGGCACCCTGTTGCTAGATGGCAATGCAAAGTCCCTGTGCTGAGAAAGAAAGGGGGATACTTGAGCTACAGCCCCTGCCTGCATCCCTGCAAGCTCTGCCTGCAATACCAGGAGACCCGGCGCTGCGTGGCTGCTTCTCCTCGCAGGCTGCCTGCCTTCCCGGAGCCCAGGCAGACAAGGCACGGCAGCACAGAGAGGAGCAGGGCTCCCTTTTGCTACGGGATCCGAGCGAATGGTGCTCGTGGCTGGGGGAAAAGGGGGTTGTCTGCGGGGAGGGCTGAGCCAGTTTTGAGGATCAACAGGGCTTCACTCCTGGAGGAAGACAGGACACGAGGGGCTGATGTTTGTGTCTTTCTTCTCTGTCACCACACCTGCTCTCCTTAATTCCACCTGCTGAGGGCTGGATGGAGCCCATAAGCTGCACCAGGACTTTAAATGACTTGTGCTCCTCCCGGGGCTTAAAAGCAAAATGGTGCCTGGGTTTTAAATAATCCCCTGGCTGCACGAACAGGAGAGCCAGAGAGTGGCCTTGGAAGTGAGAAACCAGTTCCTTCCCTCCCCTACCTTGTGCCCTGCCTCCCTCCTCCTCACCCTCCCTGCAAGGGGCATTTTCTCACCAGGCAGCTCTGCAGCTCTGGCCAGAGGTCCCACCGACCCGTGCTGCTGTTGTAAATGGGTGTCTGGCCAAAAACCTATATCGAAAGGGAAAAGGAGAGCTGAAAGAGATAGAGGGTAGCAGGGGAACCCAGCTGTTGTAGTTAGTCTTCCCTACAAAGAAGGACATCACCTTCCCTTTCAGACCTCTACCTCCAAGCTGTGATCCTCAGGTTTCCTTCATTTTCCAGCTTGAGTGTGGTGTATTCCCAGTTTTCCCAGGGCCTCTAACACCACAGAAGCTGAAAGTTCACCTGAGAAGAGCTCAGAAAGATCCCGGGCTTTATGACACAGAGTGGACTTACGGGAAGATTCAGAAACGTGTTGAAAAAGTCGACAAAAACGTCATCTCTTAGCAGAAGACCCATGCCCATGGAGGCTATGGTTGCTACAAGGGCAAGAAGAGAAAATTACTTGGGCTTTGTGTCACCAAGTGTGATATAAATGTGAACCTCAGGCCAGGGGCAGGTTGTAGCTCTGGGTAGAGTGACAATCCCTGCAGACTCCCCACCCCATCCAGGACATCAAGGTGCAGTGTGCCAGTAGAGCCCAACACTTCTCACTATGCTTGGGTACAAGGGGCTTAGCTGGCATCGACATACTGGTGCGTGGGTCAGAAGCATCCGCCTGTGGGAATGCACGGCTGTGTCACAGAGAGGACACACATTTCAGAAGCCTAATGCTCTTTTTTTCCCTGCTGTCCCCTTTGGGGTCTGCTTAGAGGAACTGAAGCCTCCAGAAAAGGTAACTCACCAGTAGCTGCCATGTTGCTGTGTCTCAGCGTTGCCATGTCGTGGGGTTGTTGTGTCCAGGGGTTGCCGTGTTCCAGGGATGTGTTCCAGAGTTCCACACTGCATGTGAGGCTGCAGAGGTCCTGGAGACTGGGGGTCTTTCAGCACCTCCTCCTTTGCTGTACTTCAGGGAAATATATAACTTTTTTAAATCATCAGCCCTGCAAACACACTTAAGCACTCCTGAAATTAAACCCTTCCCCTCTCCACTTCTTGTCTTCAAAACATGCTCTCGGTAGCACCGTGGCACCATGCATGGTTGCTGTCAGCGTGCCTGCTCAGGTGATGACAGAAATTTCTCTGGAGTTTGCCCTGGGCAGAGCAACCCCAGATTTCTCATTACCTGTCCTGCTTTGCCAGATCTGGAGCTGAGACTCAACCTTGGAGACCCTCTGGTGGGAAGAGAAGAAAGAAAGAAGGAACCACCTCTCTCTCTTGCAGCAGTGACCTGTTTCGCTGGCAGGAGGAGGAACCAGCTCTCCAGGTGAGTTTTTGACACCCCTCCCAGTCCGTAATGCCGTCGTGTCGGACATGGCAGGGTTCCTAGTGCCCTCCAGGTTTTGGGCACAGTCCTGTCTGAGGTGTCTGATGTGCCTTGAAGGAGAGAAGCGGATCTGCCTGTCTGTGGCTCTGTGCGGTTGGTGGGAGCGGGAAGGCTTTCGTGGCCGGCAACGAGCAGGGAGCGGAGGATTTTTGGCCTCTCCAGCAGCAGACACCTCTTCCGTGCTTGCCTGGGGCGGGGTGGGTGATGCAGGGCAGACTCTGCCCACCTTGCATTTCGAAGAAGCCCCGAGCT